AATTCTCAGACCTAAAATGCTGATGGAGTAGATGAGAGCTCACTGCAAATGCTGACTGACATATGTAGGAGTCTCTGGAAACACTTCTGGCTGGGGAGCTCAGTGCTACTAATAAACTAATCAGGTGCTGAAGAGATACTTTGACTGAAGAATCTTAAGCACTTCTGGGAGTGTCGGGTGTCTGTGCTTCCCCATTGTGTTTCCATGTGCCATCCATTACCTCTGCAGGTGACATTGTGGCTGGCAGGTAGAAAAACATAGCACCGCAAGGGACACAAGTATACAACACTCTCAGAAGTGTGTTCGATGTTTAAGATTTGTTGCCTGGCTTGACTCTTCAAGAAAGGAAAGATCAGAATCATTGTAAACACAGTTGGAAGAACCAACAAAGCTTCCGACCCTCCAGCTCATCATGCTGTGTCTGGGGCAGACATGGCATAGAAAACTGAGTAGATCTTTTGAATTTACAAAAACGCACCCACCCCCTATCAAATCAGAGCAGGACCTGCTCTGTTGCCTCAGTTTAGAGGAGTGGCCAAGGGCTTACTCAAATGACACCAGCCCTCACGGGTTGAGCCTAAGGTATGTAAAGCAAAAACTTTTTGATAATTCCCCCCAGTGTCTCTGTATTTGCAATTCAGTGGTTTGGGTTATGTGTGATGTGTTTTTAATGGAAAGGACAGGGTTGTAGAGTCGACAAATCTTTCACTGCATCTGATGGGAAACTGACCCCTTTAAAAGCAAGATATTGTACAGACTTCTTCTACTGTTAATATCAAGCTCCTACTTATTCTGCCAGAATCATGTGCATCTCCTGGGGCCTGCTTTAATTAGTCTGAGCTGTAAACATGGTTTACACTGCTGCAAACTAATTATCAGATCTTTTTATACCATCATGTGCTATGGTAATTATTTGCCTTTATCTGAACGATTGCAACATTTAAAAAAAAAGGAAAGCTGAAGTTTGGCTAATCTTGTTTTTGCTCTTCAGCAGGGCTTTCTGACATTTTCAGTATGAAGGCAACATCATATATTTTACAAATATTCACAGGCCAAAAAAATCAGTTTTGTAAATGCATGGATAATTTTTTTATTGAATGAATAAGCACGATTCAAGAAATAACTTATTTTCAGAAATCCCCCCTTTTTCATTAGGACCCCCCTGTCATCAGAAGCTCTGTTTCACATTAGAGTCCCTTTTTCACATCAAAATGTCTTCTTAAACATCAGAGCCCCCCTTTCACATCAAAATCCCTCCCCCTTAAACATCAGATCCCCACTTTCACATCAAAAGCCCTCCCCCTACACATCAGAGCCCACCTTTCACATCAAAAGGTTCCCTTATACATCAGAGCCCCCCTTTCACATCAGGGTATACAGTACCCTTGTCCTACCTAACAATTTTCACCACAGCAGGAGCATGGCACAGTGTGGGAGGCACAGTGAGTCTGAACAGAGGGTGGGAGGGGGAGCAGATCCCCTTCTGAATGCTGGGGTGACCCTGGATACTACCACCCTGGATCAGCATCATACATTTCCAAGGTGCGCTTAGGTTGGCAACCAGCATCATAACAAATGATACCACATGTCCAGGCTAAATGATGTCAAGTTGCTGTCCTGTAGAGGGGTGGATGACGCCTTTGGGAGAGTTTGGTGACTCAACCCTGCTCATCGCTTTCAAATTATATAAAAAAAGTGCAGTGCTATAACATATAATGTTGTACATATGTGAAATCCTTAAATCTAAAAAAAAAAAAGTGATAATTACTAATCATTTATGACCTATTGGTCATCAAACGTCGTCGATATAGAGTTCACACAAAGAAAAAAAAATGTGTGTTCAAGTCATCCAAACAGTAAATGCCAGTGTGTGAAATAAAAATAAATCAGTGTATCTCGGGATAGGACCAAGCTCTAGCTTCTTACCAGATCCAATTGACCATTATGAATATAAATGGTCAATCGGTGCATGAGGGGTTAATATCTCCTAGTAGTTCACATGTATCCTCCACAAACCAAAATCCAGGGTATACAGCCAAAGTAACACTCAAAGAAAGAATAAACACCTTCAATTTAATATTTGGTAACACACCCCTTGGCAAAAATAAATGGCATCCTGTAACCATCAATGAGTTTCTTCCACCTCTCTACTGGAATTTTGGACCACTCTTCTTTCTCCAATTGCTCCAGGTCTCTCAGATTGGAAAGGTTCCTTTTCCCAACTTCTGTTTTGAGATCTCTCCACAGGCGCACTATGGGATTGAGGTCTGGACTCATTGCTGGCCAGGTCAGTCCTCTCCAGTGCTTTGTCTGAAACCATTTCTGGGTGCTTTTTGGCATGTGCCAACTGTGAGACCCATGACCTCTGATGGACCCATTTTCTGACACTGGGCCCTACATTGCACCCCAGAATTCTATGGTAGTCTTCAGATTTCAATTTCATAATGCCATGCACACGGTCAGGACATCCCATGCCTGAAGCAGCAAAGCAACCCCAAAACATCAGAGAACCTCCACCATGTTTGTAGGGACTTAATTATTTTCTTTAAAGGCCTTATTTCTTTTTCTGAAAATAGTAGAATGATAGGCTTTACCGAAAAGCTGTAATTTTGTTTCGTCTGTCCACAGCACATTCTCCCAAAATTATTTTGGCTTCCTCAAGTAAGTTTTGGCAAATTCAAATCTGGATTTTTTTTATATTTTTGTGTCAGCATTGGAGTCCTTCTGGGTCTCCTACAATAGCGTCCCTTTTCATTCAGATGGCGATGTATAGTGCGAGCTCACACAGTTGTACCCTGTGCCTGAAATTCAGCTTGAATTTGTCTGGAAGTTCTTTAGCCTCCATTCAAACAATTCTTCGTTGAAATCTTTGATAAATTTCTCTCTTTCGTCCACGTCTAGGGAGATTAGCTGCAGTGCCATGGGCTATAAACTTCTTGGCGATGTTGTGCACAATGGACACAGGAACATTAAGATCTGTTAATTGATACAGGTGAGTTTAATTACAAATTACAGGAGCATCACAAACTTGGAATTCAATTATTTCTAACAGTTCTGAGAAGGTGCCAATAATTTTGTCCAGTCCATTTTTGGGGTTTTTCATGGAATGTGTCAGATTTGGCTTTTTGTTTTGCCACCTTTTTGTGTCATATCAATACAAATAAAAGAAATAAAAACATGAAAATGTCTAAACATTTGTATTTGCAACAATTTTCTGGGTGAAGTGGTGCATTATTTGACAGAAAAGCAGGGGTTTCAATATTTTTGGCCATGACTGTAAAGTAGGTGTTATCCTAATTTGTTTCCTTATGGTGTATTTCCACTTTTGCAGCCAAAACAATAAAATCAGATTCTCCATCCACAAATGATATGGTGAATATAACATCTTCACCAATAACACATAAATAATTCCATATCATATTCATTTCAAAGGTCATGTCTAATAAAGATATTAATCATTTCTAGGAAGTAATCGTGGTTTTGTAGAAAGTCATGTTTCAGCACCTTTTCATTTGTAATGATTATTGTAGTATGTTTTGACACATGGTTCCTGGAAGTCTGTATGTGTCTGACCCAGTGATGTACTGGAGTTGTTCAGTGTTCTAGCACATTGTTGAGAAAATCACCGTACTGCCAGCTAAGTGATCCAATTATTAGAGAAAATTGTCAGCGGAGAGTGGAAATTGGTAATCGTTAAAATAACAACTTAGTATTATTGAACACATTGCATTTCCTACGTACAGTTGCTGAAAGGTCCATTGTACAACTTCCTCTACACATTTACTCCCCCCTCCCATTGGAATAGCCCCTGACTCCTTTACAGAAAAAAAAACTTGCATGCACACCAACTTCCAAGTGCCTTCACTCCAGTCACAGGATCTCACAGGTCCACCTCTTTCTCTAGTGGCACCATGTAATGACATGGTGCCACTATCTGCAGCATTCTCCAGCAGTGCTGCGGGCAGGCCCTTGATGCCCTGGACTCATAGGAATTGGATCTGAATGATGCTGGGTGTGTTTCAGCCTGGCAGAGGAGCAATACTGAATCAATGAGTCTGCAGGGGGCAGCGCTGGAGACAGGGTGAGTATTGCAACATGGGGTGCATTTTCTGATATTATAAAGATGCTAGAAAATTAATAACTATTTTTTTTTGTCCCAAGCTAGACTTGGCTATTAACCACTTGTCCTCCAGAGGATTTACCCCCCTTCCTGACCAGGCCATTTTTTGCAATACAGTACTGCGTTACTTTAACCGCCTCCCGCCCACCATATAGTAAAATGACGGATGCAAGGCGATTCTCTCGTTCTGGGAGGTTGTCATATGACGTCCTCCCATTTAATCACGCATGCGCGGCACCTGGAGCGTGCAGTGCGGTGATCAGCAGTGTGCTGTGTCCCTCGGACACAGTGGATCACCGATCAACGGAAAGAGCCGAAGATGACGGCTCGGGTCATGTGATCAGCTGTGTCCAATCACAGCTGATCACATGTAAACAGGGAAATGCCGGTTATCGGCATTTCTCTCCTCACGAGCTGTCACACTGACAGCTTGAGGGGAGAGGACAGCTGGTAATCGGCATCCCTCAGAGGGGACATGTACACAGACCATCAGAACACTGATGATCAGTGTGCCCTGATGATCTGTGTAGCCCCAGCAGTGCCACCTGTCAGTGTCCATCAGTGCCAGATGTCAGTGTTCATCCATGCCACCTGCCAGTGCCACATCAATGCCACATTTCAGTGCCTATCAGTGCCACATATCAGTGCCCATCTGAGCTGCCTTTCAGTGTCATCCATCAGTGCCAGTCAGTGCCACCTATCAGTGCTGCCTATCAGTGCCATATATGAGTGCTGCCTTTCAGTGCCCATCAGTGATGCCTGTCAATGCCCATCAGTGCCACCTACAAGTGCCTCCTCATCTGTTCCACCTATCAGTGCAGCCTAACAGTGCCCATCAGTGCAGCCTCATTAGCGCACACCAGTGAAGGAGAAAAATCACTTATTTACAAAATTTTATAACAAAAACTAAGAAAAAACTTTTTTTTTCAAAATTTTGCAGTGGTTTTTGGTTTGTTATAAAATAAAAAACCCTGAGGTGATTAAATACCACCAAAATAAAGCTCTATCTGTTACAAAAAAATGATTAAATTTTCATATTGGTACAGTGTTGCATGACCGCACAACTGTCATTCAAAGTGTGACAGCGCTGAAAGCTGGAAATTGGCCTGGGCAGGAAGAGGGTATAAGTGCCCAGTAGGCTAGTGGTTAACTAACAATTGCGCGGTCATGCAACGGTGCACCCAAATTACATTTACGTCCTCGTTTTCCCATAAACAGAGCTTTCTTTCAGTGGTATTTTATCGACGCTGCATTTTTATTTTTTGCGCTATAAATAAAAAAATACAATTTTGAGGAAAAATACAATATTTTTGACTTTTTGCTATTAAACAGTAAAAACATTTTAAAAATCTAATTTTGCCATAGATTTAGGCCAAAATGTATTCTGCGACATGTCTTTGCTAAAATAAAATCCCAATACGTGTAAATTAATTGGTTTACATGAAAGTTATAGCGTTTACAAATGGCGGTATATATATACTGGAATTTTTATTTTTTATTTATTTCTACTAGTAATGGCAGCGGTCAGCAACTTATAGCGGGACTGTGGGACTGCAGCAGGCATTCTGAGACTGGGGGGAACTGACTTGGTGTCACTGACATCCCCAGTGACACCAATACAGTGATCAGTGCTAATAAACAGCACTGACACTGTACTAATGGCACTGGGCAGGAAGGGGGTTAACTGTGTGCTGGGTGTGTTTTACTACTAGGGGGCAGTGTTTGTGCTTTCCACTGCAAGCACACTGCTTTGTATGGCTGTGCTATGCAAGCTAAGCAGTGTTCAGGAGCTGACAGGGGAGAGATCTGTATTGTTTACATACAGGTCTCTCCCGCGTCGGAGATACTCAGCGATCACTGGGTGATGGTGAGTAATCACTGGCCGGGACCCGGTGATTGACACCCGAGGCCATGAATGGCAGCGCGGGTAGGGCATGCGCGCCCTCTACCTAGAACTGCAAAATCACATATATGTGATTTTGCACACCCGTGCCGCCCTGTAGCAGTATTTCTGCTATAGGGTGCCGCGAAACTGGTTAAGCTGCTGTTGTTAGCAAGAAACTAGAGTCAGCACATCCATAAAGTGCAAATAATAAAAGCTATATCCCAGAGTCTTGCACACCAACACACAGTGCTCATAACTGAGTGCAGTGCACTCCTCCAACTAGACTTTAGCTGGCCACACACTAATAGATTTTTCAATGAATGTTCATATGAGAATTTTCAGTACATTCAGTGACTTGTTGATTGTCGTTTGAAATTAGTTCAATTGTCATCGGCTTTTAACCTTACATTTCAGAATAAATTGACTTTACTGAATGAAAAGCACATACACTCAGAATTTTGTTCAGTTGAGAAAAAATTTCCATCTTGCTCCTTTGAATTTTGTCATCTCTGTGCTAGAAAACGGACATTGAGTTGACCCCACTAATAATTAGAAAATTGAACTAACATTCTTAAAATTAAAATTTTGCCCACAGGTACAGGATTTGTGCTGGAGATGTGGCAACAGCCAGGGTACAATGTTACACATTTTCTGGGATTGCAGCACTAATGCAGCACAAAAGGGTTCATTAACTGCCACTGATCACCAATGCATCAGTGGCAGTACATTAACACCTTCATGCTGCATATTGCTAATAGCATTGTTAATTGATTACCCACTCCAAAGAGTTAATCACTCTCGCCAGTTCACAGGAAAAGCTACACATCAGTACACTGTCAATGCATACAGAAAATTAGGAAGGAGGATCTACCAGCCCAGTCATTGACTTATGCAGGCCATACATGGGTCGAATTCCGGTCAAATTTTCTTTCGAAAATTGGAAATTTTGTGTGGTTTGTAATCCGATCGTGCCACCATTGATTTTGAAATTCATCCAACCAAGCCTTTAATTTCATCTCGTGTTGCTACAGAGAAGAATTTTCGTGGCCAAGAATTTTCTTTTCTTTCCAGGTCACAGCTTATGCTCATTTCTTTTTCATTTATATTTCCCGCACGATTCTCCTATCATGGATTCGAAATTCATAGCTTTTAAAAAAATTTCCAACATGCCCGATCACTCAGATTCGATGGTCTCACGAAAATCGGTTGTTTCTATGACCCACTAATGGTGCAAAGTTCAAACAAAAATTCTTAGAAAAGATTTTTGAAAGAAAATTCTTTTGGAATTCGAGCCATGTATGGGTGGCTTAACTTGCACACAGTTTGCTGCAGCACCGGCACTACTCTCTCATCTGTCCTACCTTCCGGCCTCTGAATGACGTCAGGCCGGGCCCGGACTAGAAAGCGCCTGTCAGGCAGGGATCACTCTGACAGCGAAGTGAATGTGTACCCTCTAGTGTTCCAGGTGCAGGAGCGCCAGAACAATGTCTAGTGCAGGGACGGACTGACAACTCATGGGGCCCCGGGGCAATAGGGGATCATGGGGCCCCTGTGTCCTTGCCCAAACTCAAAAAAGCCTATGAAAAAGGTACCAGGGGCATCTCATTGGGCCCCCTACTGACCCCGGGCCCTTGGGCAGTGCCTGAGTTTCCAAATGGTCAGTCCGCCCCTGGTCTAGTGTACTATAGCAGCAGTGATTTGTGTACTGGTCCAGGTTGAAGCAATACTTTAGCAGCCAGCAATTCACCTGTACCCCCCCCCCCCCCAGAAAGTTGTTACGCTTAGGACTTTTGCCCCCCTCGCCCTGTCCCTGTCCCTGTGGAGCGGTTAAAAACACTGTGATTAGACTTGAAGTGAACTGGACCTTTAATGGTATTTCTCTAAGTGTCATTACAAGTACAGGTCTTGTTGGCAGCCAAAGAGTTAACACTAAAGGTCCAGCTCACTTCTAGTCCCTTTATATTGTTTTCAATCAAGCCCTGATTAAAGCAGGCCATACATGGCTCAAATCCCGAATGATTTTTCGATTGAAAATCGAAAACATTGTTCGTTCTGTAATCCAATGGTGCCACCGATGATTTCGAAAATTGGTAATTTTTCACAAATTTTCCAGCATGCCCGATAAATGAAATGGGGAGGAACCACGAAAATCAGCCAGTGTCATTGCCTAAGAGGGAATTTTTGGACTACCAAAATGAATTGGATATTCTTTGAAATGCCCTCCTGACTTTTATTGGAATACAATTTCATCTGGACCTCTTAGCAGTGTGGCCCTTCAATTTCCATGTTTGTTACATTATGCTACTAGCTAAGTAGACTGTGGAGATCCTCTGGGGTGTAGAGGCCGCCTTCCCAGAGACCAGATTATTCACATCAACATCAATACTTTAAGAGAGCAATACCAATAAGATAACCATACAAGTCCCGCACTACTTTTCCACTTTCCCCAAGTTTTTACCTTTGGTGACTGTGTTTCTGTGTTGCATAGAATGCTTATGATGTGTCTGAAACACAATTTTAAAGCTCACGCTGTTGTTGTGATTGGAATTCTACATTTGGGGTTGGTAATTATGAACCTATGTATTGTGGTTCACTATGTGCAGTACCTATGTTCTATTCAATTGCTGTTGATGGAAAGGTAAGTGAAATGCACACACAGTAGGTGCTTTTCAGATGCTTTCACAACTTCCGTTTAAAGAAAATTGAAAGAAACAATAAAAGCAAAATATTATCTAGCAAATTTACAAAAGTATTATCAATTGAAATACATCTCAAGCACAACTTAAAAGCATGTCTTGTTTTACCAAAATGTATGAATGCTTTTGATATTCACAGGGGAACACTGTTGCCTGTGTAGCGCTTACCCCACAGGAGCCGATGAATATGATGGGTTCTCTGTTCTGCCATGCCTCTTCAAGACCGGACACTTTCACCCCCTTCCTGTCCAGGCCAATTTTCAGCTTTCAGTGCTATCACACTTTCAATGACAATTATGCAGTCATGCAACACTGTACCCATATGAATTTTTTAGCTTTTTTTGAGACAGATAAAACTTTATTTTGGTGGTATTTATTCACCACTGGGATTTTTATTTTTTTTTGCAAAGTCCAAACATTTTGAAAAAAAAGTGTTTTTCTTATAACATTTTGCAAATAAATAATATTTCTTCATATAAATCTTGACCAAAATGAATTCAGCTATATTTTTTGTAACATTTATATATTTTTTTACATTATTATTTATGTTTTTTTTAACATACCATCACCCTAGCAGCACAGTGTCACCATAGTGACACTGTACTACTTGTGGGGGGTGATGAAAATGATTTTTTTCTTTTTTTTACACTGATTGCTTTTACACCCATAAAGGCTCTAAAAGCAATCATTTCTCCTTCTCTCTGGCTGCATTCTGGCAGCCATTGAGAAATACTGTGAGAGCTGTTATTGGTCACAGCTTGTCACATGGTACAAAACTGTTGTGAATAGCCTTGTACCATGTGACCTCTGTGATCATTCACAGATTTCACACGTAGTAAGCAATGATGTCAGGAAGTGACATCTTGTTTACTACTATATTCATGTGATCCCTGATTGGTCAATCAGGGATCACATGAATCAGGACCTCACACAGAGGTTCCAGACACAGAGGGCACTGGATCGCGGGATCCCTCCCAGGGAGCGTGCACAGGCAGTGAATACGGGGGCCATTTATAAACGACAACCTGCTTCGGCACTGCTCCCGTCTGGCCGTTTATATACATGGGCTGGATGGGAAGTGATTAAACTGCCCAGACCCCACTGACACACCTGTGTAACTTAAAACTTAGTATACTACCACTTTAAAATAATGCACTGAAAGTAGGCCCTAGTAACTAGATGGTAGACTGAAAGGATGTATTATGGCAATGCTACTAAACAATTCATGAATCAACAAACAGGCAACTGAACACGCTTAAAGATTCTTTGCAAGAGGATGTGAATGTCGACCCATAAGATGGCAATCATCTGAAATATAATGAACCTAAACCAAATTATAACTGGCACAAACAGGGTAAAGAGTACCGGCATTGACTAACCCAAAAAATAAAAGGCCTCATGTGCACACTACACATACAGCTTCAATAGTGGGTGAGTGTATGTGCTTCTAACAAACGGGTAACCCATTGGTGGCAATAAAGTACCTGGCACCTAATTATCAGTATTAGCCGTTTTGTTGGGGCCCGTCTGTAAAGTGGTGCATGTGGAACTGTCTCTCTAAGAGTGGATAATAGTTGACTGATGAGCTGCTAAGTGAAGAGCGGTCTTTATTGCATGAACTGTGTCAGTGTTGAGATAAGCACAGATAGTTCCGCTTACCGCTCCCAGTTCACCGGATCACTTCGCGGTCTGCTGTCCTCAGGTCCCTGGTGACTCAGTCCTCCCGAACAGGTCCTCACAAGACTTAGTATCTCAGCTCTGGTTCTCACTGGTTCTCTCTTTGCTGTAGGCACTTCTAGCTCCGGTCCTAGTTCACAAACAATCTCTCTGCAGCTTGGTCCTCAGGTTCTTATGGCCAGACTCCGCAAGGGCAACAGGTCCACACTCTCTAGTCTGAGATGGCACTCTGGTCTCTGCACAGGCCCAGCCAAGATCATATGTCTGTATAGCTTGGCTTCCTCCTGCAACACACGCAGATATTTCCAGAATTGGAAAAGTTCTGTCCTCCTTTGTTGTGCAGGAAATACTGGGTAGTGTGATCCACAGCTCCATCAACCATCATTCACTTGCATTGCACTGTACCCCTTTAGGGACTACACTTCCCAGAATCCATGGCGGCCTCTGCATAACAAGCCCCCTTATTGCTGAT